TGTAAAAATGAAATAAGTAATTCAAAAGTTGAAACAAAAACTCTATTTAGCCAACCCAATAAAATCACTCAAGAATTTTCCTCTGAATAAATGTTTGAACTTCATAGTCTAGAGGTGTTAGGTTAATGAGACATAAGACTGCTTAAGGGTGTTGCTCAACGTGTAATGAATAAAATTAAATTAAGAAAAACAACAAAAGTAAAGCAAAAGAAAACTTTGAAAAGGCAAAGATCAACAATAATAAGATAAATAAATTTACAACGTTATAATTTACAAGAAAAGAAAATCAATTAAAAATTTAAAAGAATGAGTTACCGACAAACTATATGACTTGTTTGTTTTACAAAACTTTAGTTATATATTTTATTCTTTTTACATACTGTTTATTGTCCCAGAAGCACACGCACCGATACACACACTCCGAAACTCTCGATCTTCTTGGTCCAGTGGCCCGTGGTGAACTCCTCGATTTGTTTCTTCAGGTCCTCCCGCTCCGAGACTCCTCACCCCTCCATTTTCTTCATTAGCCCTTCTCATTGGCTGATTGGGTGTTTGACTTATAGGTTAACGATGTTTCTTGGAAGTCAGCCCTACCAGTCATCGCCTAGCTCACGTCAGCTGGGAAAGGAATTTGTAAATCGATACTCATGCTACTGTTCAACTCTCTTCACACCAACTGGTCGACTATAGTCCTCGCCACCCTAAGTTGAGGCAGCCAAAGGCCGCACTAGATATACGCCATGCGGCCTTGGGCTGCCTCAACTTAGGGTGGCGAGGACTATAAGTGTAATGTAAACAGAGTATCTGCTTAGATAAGCACCGTGGGTACAGGGTTAATCCCCTTTCTTACAATGTAAATCTATGTTGTAAACTTCTTGACATACGAGAACTGCTTTAAGGACAATTTATACTAGGCGTACGCTCATTCTTCCCGTATTGGGGGCCTAAGACATTGAAAAAGGCTGTGCTGGTAAAAGCGACCAGAATACACAGTAAAAATTATACTGGATATATAGCAGGTATGGATACAAAAATCATGGATGCTCAAACAGTGTCTTGCACAGCAGATCATTTTGAGAATGCCAGAGGTCTTGGCACAGATGTGCTGAATGTCTGGCCCAAAGCCCAAACGCATATGACGAGTCAATAAGAATCTGGGAAATAGTCAATATCCAGAGAATTTTGTTAATGCCAACAATTTTTAACTTATTCTTGGTGGAATCAACCATTATCTTTGGTCACATCTTAGCTAAGACATCATTAAGAGACTGAGACGGTGGTTTCATCCTGTAATTCAGCTACTAGGAGGTCACGAGTTGTGGATATTTATAGGCATGTACTGTGGATGTGATACTTCCTGGTTTGAATTAACGCCTTTACTAGTGAGTACTACGACTATCCGCAGTACTATCCTGATAATTAGACCAATTTTTTTATACCTACCAAGGAAAATGTGGTTCCCTATAGTTTCCATTAGCCCAAAGTATGGGCTATTAATTGACAGCTGTGTCTAAGGAATATATCAGCCTTAGGGCCGCTTTCCCCAAATCAAGTTTAACTTAGTCACTAACAAGGATACAAAATCGTGCCACTCATCCATCCTACACTCATCTCCATGCATACTGATACTTCGCTTAAAATAACTACTTTGTATGGTTGCCATTTCAAATTAAAGTATTAAGCCTAAGGCAAAATGACTCATAACCATAGAGGGAAGCAACTTTCCACAAACAGATTTATATGTCAGCGAACTAAGGGATCTTGATAACTCTCTTGATGTCTTTAAAGAATATGTTCAACTAAAAATAACTGTAAATTTCTTTTTATGTTTTCATGATAAATATGCAATGCAATACAACAAAGTAACTTTTGAACATTAAAAATAGCTGTTAACAACAAATTTTTCGATCAAACTCTTTACAAAAATCTGAAGGGCAGGTCCAGAATTGATGGCCTCTCAAGTCCGTAAATTGCATCTGTGATGTTGTTTAGTAAGTTCAACGCTAAATGGTTATCAGTTAACTTAACTTATCCAATCAATAGTGTTATTAATACTTATGAAGTCAAACGGAAAGGGGTGAAGCCCGTGGATAACAGCTAGCTGTCTAGTTGATATATAAAACACGTTTTTGAAAATAATTCGTTTGATGCTTTAAATGCAAATGTTAGGCATTTATTTTATGAGTTATTTAACTTTTCATACAACAGATCTATGGAACATAACAATAAATTATTCTCTTTAGCGCTCCAGTACGCTCTATTTCGCAACGGGTATACAAGTTCAGAATACATTTAATTGTTTGATGTAATAATTAAGTCAATAGCCCAAAAGTAAACACATCCGATTTATTGTGCATCCTATGTTCAATTGTGTTTTGGATTTTGTCACATAACCTGAAAACCAGTCAAACGGTTACATGGAAATTGTGGGAAATTTCGCTCTACAAGTGCCTGCTGCATCCCTGCATTTATCCCACTGAGCTAGATTTATCCAACAGTGTTGTCATATTGAGGGAGTAACACTAAATTCAGGGGCGTAATCTCGCTGAATAAAATTAAAAGTCTGCAGCAACACCTATTTCAAATTTTAAAGACAGCTTTGTCTGGAGCTCCGTTTTTATATATTCTACTACTGTATTTAACTTATGGATTTTATTTTGTACCTTTCATATGTGTTATATTTAGCTAATCTTAACATATAAAAGTAAAAGCCCTCACTCAATGATTCATTACTACTAATCCAACTTCCAGACTAGCTAGAACGTTGAAATTTGGTGTACTGATTCTTCAGGCATTAAATAGGAAAACTAAGTAGTTTTTATCCTGATCTGACTTTTGGGTTCCACCCAAGTGGTTCTGGAGTTTCCTTAACCTTATAATAAGTATCTATATTATTAAAAGACTTTGTTGGATTTTGTGTGCAGAAATTTGACCCATAAGTTTGAATGTTTATAGGCATATTGGGTATCTATATATTAAATATAGATACCCAATATATTTAATAGGCAAACACGAATTTTGTGACGTATCCGTTTTGAAGCTGCTATGCATCCGATCACCACGTAGATAAATGCTTTCCATTGACCTACCTTTATATTGATTGGCATATCACTGACAAATGATCACTATAATGTATCTCAAAACAAATATAAGACCTAGAATAATAAAATTTTGCATTGTGACGACAATCCATGTATATGGTGTAGATGTACAAAGTTGGGGGTTTTGCAAAGTTCTAAACTCAAGGGTGGTTTAGGGGATTAAATCTATTTCAGAAGAAATTCGAGTATGCAAGATATTATATTTTGGTCTGTAACTTATAAGCTACAATGCTTGGATCTTAAATCTTATGGAAGATCGGTAGTGTAGAATTAAATTATCCACAACTTTTGTATTTCAAGAGTGTTTTTCTATCTCAAACATATTTCGAGTAAAATAGGTTTACATTCAAAACTGTGAAAATTTGCTTGTTCCGCCACCTAAAAACTAGTCAGTGTCCGTACGTTTAACCATATGATTACCAATCTTTTATTTTATTAAATAGCATTATTTATTATATAATAATAATGCACAAATCAATAAAAGCTGTTAAAAACCTATCAAGTGTACTATCGCAAGTATAGCTAGCGACATTATTACATTTTAGGAGCTTGCTCCCGTAAACATTTGAAATCTTCTATTCTTAAGCTTCAATTCAGTATGAGTTGTTATCATTAACCGGAACTGCTACACAATTTGTTGTAAAACGGTGATAGTTTTCGTTAAACGTTAATAGAGTCAATCTTCTTATATTTAAAAATAAATTTAACCGATTTTCATATGATTGAGGTCTCGGGAATTGAAGGTGTGCACAGATTTCACTCTAAGCATCGGCATATATATTGATCTACTGTATTACTCGTCCAAAAAACATGTATTTGACTTTTTCGAATCCTTACTTCAATTTAAGATGCATTTCACCAGTTATAATTATATAATCCTACATATTTTGGTCTAAGAACCTTCAGTGAAATGCCGGCTTTCATTTAAGCTATTAATTAGTTATCCAAATCGGACGGACTACAAGCAATTGCAATGTGAACAACCAACATATAAATTATTTTTTTATAAGGATTTTCTATGATTAAAAATCAATAGGTCCAATATTGTTTATGTGTTTTCAAGTTTTGACGCAAAATAGTAAGTTAATTAAAGGTTTTAATTTGAGCTATATATCGTTTGAATCAGTTAAGATCAAGATACTCAATAAAAATTTATAAATTTGATTATTGCTCGAATATGATTTTCATTTCAACGTTGTAGAGTAGCATGGGCCCACTAGTAATTATTAAATGTACAGAAGGGACAACAAAATTCAAGAATAATATCAAATCAAGAGCATGCCGAGACAGTAACGGGGAACATCATATATACAGTATATCACTAAATAAAATAATGTTTTTGTGTTACTTTTACTAACTAGATATTTTATACTGTACATATAATTTCCTTCGGCATTTATACTGCCTACTTTGTAGCCGTAAATATCGGAATTACCCACATTACCCTTGTATGGGAATGTTTATTGCTCCAGACTTTTGGGTTGGCAGCACTGTTCACCCCATAACAACTACTCCCTCCCCCAGAAACCTTGCAGCCAATGAGAGCAGTCGATGCCCCCACCACAAGAGCAAGAGGGCGTTCATTACCTCACCAAATTGAAAAGTAACCAACCTGACCGATTTCAATATCGGGCAGGTAGGTCCCTTCACCAGTTTGAAAGGTTACCTACTTGAAGGGATCCCCTCTATTTCAACTTAAAAGATTAACCATTGGCATAGAGGAAACAAGCACAAATAGTATACAATGAAGCTGCATGGAATTTAAAAAACAATAGCCCAGCCGTGGAACGGACTTAAAAAGATAGAAACAAGTTTTTAAGGTTATGTTCACCTTGTTCTCATGCTATGCCAACTGAACTATGCTTAGATTTGTTTGTTGTTAGGTTAATTAATGTGGAAGTGGATTTAGTGGAATGTTGATTATTTACAAACTCATTTTATAGATTAATTGTTTCTACACCTTGGAGTTTTAACTAGGCCTATAAAATTTACTTTTAACTTTTCCTAATTTAGGCTTTAGGTCTTTAACATTTAGAAATGGGTAAAGGTAAGAAGAGGAGGCTCAAGGAAGACAACGAACAAGAATTTGATCCTGCCCCCAAACATTTATCAATTGCTCACATCAGGAACCAAGAAAAACGATTAATTGTAATACTTGAACAAGCCCAGTTAGAATCAGTAAAGGTAGGCTTTTAAAATTACTAATTGAGATAAGTTAAGCTCATTCTTGTTCTATTTTATGTTGGTAGGCCTAGCCTATTCAAAGATTATAAGTTGAGGAACGAACTTAGAGTTTTTTTAGATTAGGCCTATTTGTTTAAGTGAGTAACTTAACTTATTCCAAACACAGTCTGATGTTGATCCGTTAATGTTGACCCTTTGCCAGACAGCAACTTAACTTACCAATGACAAAATTTTTCATTTAACTTACCAAAGTCGCCGCGGCTGGGTCACTGGTGATGCATGGCGTGCCGTGGTAAGAGGTGGCTGCCTCACTGGGGATACAGCGTGCAATGCATTGTTTGCCCAGTAAATGCAGCTCAAGCTCTCGCTGAAGACGGTTGGTACCCGTTAGTATTGTAAGTTATCTCTAATACCAGTCTAATATTGTCGTGTAGGTTCGTGGTAAATTTGCCCGTAAAATCCCTGGTTGGCAAGCTTATAAATCAACTTGTCCCGTCTTTCTCCCTCCAATTGGCAATACAATGGGACCAGCTACGTACCATGCAGTGCTGCTAATTATCAGTGGGTGTTTTAGCAAACTAGGCCTATGTCAACTTTTGTCTTAACACAGCACATTTCTGAACCTTATTTGCTATTCGTCACAGTCGCGGCGACTGGGCTTTAGAGGTGGGTGGGCGAAATCTAAATATAGGCTATTGTTGATACCTACTGCTTTTTTAAAACATAAATTCAATTTTACTAACCTCGGAGTATATGTCCTTGTGTAGTATACTTTTCACTTGCGGTAACTAATACTGAAAGTTAATTATTGGTCACATCCTAATGTTATAAAAAAGTTCTACCTACCCCTTTTAAAAATCTCAGTTCATTTATTTCTTCAATAAAACTATAGGTAAAAGGCCCTCAATAAAATAGTCTTAAAACTTAACTCAGTTTTTGAGACATCAATAAGTAGAATTGAGTATAACTTACACTAATACAGAATGGTAGTAGTGGCCTGTATGAAACTATCCGTAGTCTAGGCTATAGGCTTATGCTAATGAATCAATGGTGCAGTACTGTATAAAATCCAATAATTTCACATCATAATCTAACTTAGTTCATTATGGTTTAAAAACAAAAGAAACCAGAGACCTTAAAAAGTGTAGCCTACTTCGGAAAATCAAAGTAGACTGAAAGCCTGATAGCCGCAAAAGTTTATTATAAACTGTTACAAATTATAAACAGTGAAACTTTGTGGTTAGGTTAGTAATATTGGCATGACATTAATAGACCATAGCCTATACAATATGTTAGTGCTTTGTTTTCCAGCCACATTCTTAACCTTGGCTACTTTAGAAAAGTGTTAAATGTCTAGGTACGCCTAGCAAATACTTCAACACATTCTTCAAGTTTTATGTTGTTGGAGGTCTCTTTTTCTATAGCCAGTATGGCTAAATTTGATAAACGGTCTTGGAGCATTGAGTTTCTTAAATCGTTTTTGATCCGTTTTAAATTAAGACACTGAAAGATCGTTCAGCGGTTGCAGTAGACACTGGGACAGGCAAAAATAATTGCAGAAGCTTAAAAGAGATTATGAAAATTGAACTGATTGTGAACGTTTTCGGACTTAAATTGCCGTACCAAATTTGACACAAGCTCATTAGGTTGGTCTGAGTTGGGGTTTTTTCTGTAAAACACACCAATTTCAGAGGCTAAAGTGTCACTTTCTAAACCAAACGCGTCACTCACAGGAGAGCATGCTCCTTTGATACGAGAGTCAAGCTGTTTTTTTCATAGAAAAGGCCAGTAAAAGTTCCATCATGGAAGAGTTGGGTAAGCTGGTTTTTATCAAAGCGTGTCTTGATTTTCTGGCTGAGAGTAGGCTATCTGGCAGAGGATGGTAAAATGTTCTCAGGAAAAAGTTTTGGGGAAATCGTTTTCAGGGTGAATATCTCCTCCTCCTATTTTCTGTGGGAGTTTTATTTTGCGTGAAACAGTAGGCCCTTTGAAAGCCATGACTTTAAAAAAAAAGTGCATCAGAAAAAACTTTCGGAATTCTGTTTTTTTCTTGTTGACTAATTTCCATTACTATATCATATTTTGTATATATTTATGTAATAGCCTATTTTGTAATACTATACTAGACACTTTTTATTGTTAATTATGTTAGGTATTTGTATGAGGGTAGCTTGTCAATTTAACTACTACCACACAACTAACTAGTTAAAACAAAAATAGGCCTTATGTTATAATTTGAGAAATATTTCCTAGGAAAGTGGGGGGGGGGGGGGGGTAGGGGGGCAGTTGCCTAAATGCCGCCTCTGATTTGTCAGACCAAAATATTTGAAAGCCAATCTCCCATCAATCAGGTGTAGCATTAAAAGATATTTCTTTTGACATTTTCACAGTTTGCTAGTTTTGAGTCGATTACATTAGTAGTTGACCGTAAAGGTTAAGAATTAGTTAGTCAACTGGTCCATTTTCAGAGATAACTTATATCTAGTTTAGTGACTTTTACTTTGTTAGTAAAACATAAGTTAGTAAAAGGACAAGATTACCGATACCTAGGCTATCAGATTTTCAATAATGTTTAAATCTGCAGGTAGGAAACACATTCCAGTTGTTGAACTGTGATGATCACGAAGGTATTCTCAAGAGGCATGACAGAATGCCAGGTGCAGTGCGACCAGATATTACCCACCAATGCCTCATGATGTTGCTCGATAGCCCTCTCAATCGAGCTGGTCTGCTACAGGTAATTTAGGCCAAACAAAATACTATTCCTAAAACCTTTTAAGTATATAGGCCTAATTAAGATTCAACATATTACATTCATAAAAATAGTTTCCAGCCTTTTTTTTAAGAAATAGTGACTTTTGTTTGAATATCAAATTGTTTTTTTAGTTGTAAGTTCATCTTCATTTTAGTAAAAGTTTATAATTTATTAATCATTTAGGTTCGTTGTTCATGTGATCACAAATATGCTATTGCCAAGCTCAGTTTATCAACCTGAATGCTCTAGAAATGCTTCTTAGATGCTCTATTTTAAACTTTACTAAACCATATTGAATTTATTGAGCAGTCCATTTTGAGGGTTGAATATTAAGTTCTTCATGAGGGTCATATATACGTTCAGAATGTCCTTAGTTCTCAAAGATATTAGTTAGCCAGTCTAATAACATTAGGTTACACAGACAGAGATTTTTAACCAAGACTAAACAAATGATGAATTTTAAAATTTAAAAAGGTTACCGTACCTACAACAACCTTATTACAAGTCCTTGGACCTTAACTTAAGTGACTGCCAACAGGTAAACTTTTTTTATTTGTAAAACAACTGGTCCGAAGTCACCAAAACAAAATTAAATTATTTGTTTTGTAAAATATTTTACACCAATGATATTTATAGTGCTTTCAATTATCAAGCAAAATTTTACTTTTTTGTTTCAGATTTATATTCACACTGAGAATAATGTCCTGATTGAAATCAATCCGCAAGTTAGAATACCAAGAACATTTAAAAGGTTTTGTGGTCTGATGGGTAAGTTACTAGCACTACCAAGTAACAATTAATTTGTCTGGCCAAAATCATCTTATTGACTCAATATATTATTAGTTACAGTAATTTACTTATTCGAAACAACCAGTGCTATAAGCCCAGCAACTATTGAGTATGCACTGAGAGTGTAACACATTTTGACATTTGATTGTTGGGTGAGGCATCTTGGAGGTAATAAAAAAACCATGTAGCCACCCTCCTAGCAGGTGCTCTACATTGGTGGGGGGGGAAGTAGCACAGGGCACATTCTAAAACGTTGCTCTATATCATACAAACTAAATACAATAGAAACATGCTCTAAACGGCATTTTATTACACAAATTATGTTTGGCATTGACAGTGAACAGTACTTATCACAGATTTGGGGTATTTTCTTGTACAACATTTTAAAATTAATTTGTGTGATGATAAAACACTGTTTAGAACATGTCTCTATTGTAATTAGTTAGCGAGATATCAGCAATGTTATAGAACTAGAATGTTATAGAGTCCAGTTGAGCCAAGTGTGCATGCGTGAGGCAACAGACACAACGTTAGTCTGCTCCTCCTCGCTTGACGAGCAGTAGAGGGGTCTCCTGGAGTCCGCAGAATTTGCAGAGTCTTCTTGCATTATTTTGTAACAACAGCTGTAAGCCATCGGCTCAAAAATCTGGAAGCGTAACATAACGTTAAAATACCTCCAACAAAAATCAGAAGTTGAAATGCGTTAAACTTTCAGTGCTTACTCAACCCTTATAGATGCTCGACTAGGCCTATATATAGCTCAACTCAATGACATTATTACTTCCTTACTTACTATGATATTATTAGGATCTCTAATTTGTTACCGTTAATAAAACAAATACCCCCGCCGCAGCAAACCTGCCGACTAAGCGAATTTCCATTTGTCTAAATTGATTTTCAGTTAAATATATTTTAATAACATTAGGTTTAACGAGTACCTAGGTTTGCTGCCACAAGGAAACTAATAAAGTGTGTTTTTGAGTAAAATATTGATAGCTTAGTACAAAATAAATAAATTTGCCAAATTTGATCAAAATATATCCATAAACAATCAAACTACAACATTTGACAATATTCTCCATAAAAATAACATGGGAATTTTAAATTTACAATTTTTTTAATTTTCTCCGTTACTAATAATCGAACAAAAATACTTTTATATACTAAATTATTTGTTTTTTTAAGCTCTTTAAAAAGGTTTAAAGAGAAATCGGGAAATTTTGTGTTTTGAGGGTCAAAAGTGATAAAAACCAATTTTTACCCCATAAAACCCCCCGTAAAGCCCCATTCCCATGGTCCGATCGTGCTGGTTCGCAAACTCATTCAAGTTTATCCCGCTTTACACCTTTAAACCAAATTTCATCAAAATCGGACAAAAATTACTCGAGTTATCGCGTTCACGGACGTATATATATATATATATATATATAAGTCTATATATATATATATATATATATACATATATAAAAATTTGAACGAATGGTGTTTTTGGCCTCTGGGGACATCAAAATGAAAAAGTAAATCGGTCCCGGTTCTAGGTCTTACCATGCCACCTACGGTAATAGCTACTTCCCTATAGGGAAATTCGCTAAAACCAGAACATAGTTGTTTACTAAATACAAATAGTTTGAATTTTAAGTATAAGAACCCTAGGAAATCGTACTGATAAATAATATGGTTGACATTCTCACATAATCTTGGTCAAATTATGTTTTAAATAGGCTATCTATTTTCTGGATAGTTATTCGTAAAGGGCTGTTGATCTTTAGTGTGTTTTGCATCCCTACAGTATTTTACTTAATTGGTTTTGTGAACCAAGTACTAAAGTTCACTATGTTTTCAGTTCAGCTCCTGCACAAGTTCAGTATACGAGCTTCAGACAATGCAATGAAGTTATTGAAAGTTATTAAAAATCCAGTAACAGATCATTTACCTGTGGGTTGCCGCAAGATTGGGACTTCTTTTGCAGCAGAGAAAGTTATCAATCCGAGGGAAATTGTACCTCAGGAAGAGCCAATTGCCATTGTGATTGGAGCCATCGCAAGAGGATCGGTAAATTAACTATATTTATCATTTATCTTTTAACTACAGAATGAAATAAGAATCTGAGTGTTGTTAAATGTAATCTGTCTTTTAATGCTGGCTCTTTACCCAACAGGAAATTAATAAAAATCAATATACCTCCCTTCGTTTTTTTAATACTTTTTATATGTCTTTTTTTTCTACATGAGCACTAGTCCTAAGTAGGCCTAATGATGTTATAGGCAATCAACCCATTCAGCCAACGGTGACATGGTAACTCCCCCAAGTGTGGCGTTGAGGTCTTTGTACATGTACGGGTTCAAATCCCGTACATGTGTAATCCATATAGAGCTTACTAATGTCAAATGTGTGGCTTAGCTGGGCCCACCATGGGTGGAATTAAGGATTGCAACACATCCGCTTATTTTTACATTGCCCCCACGGCATTATGGGGCACTATATAAAATACAAAGAGTCGCTCTCAGCAACACTCTAACTGAATCCAATAACTATATAATTGCTGTGAGCGCTGCTGTAGATAACTCTAAAGACGGTGATACACAATTGATCTTTTCCCCGATCAAGACCCCGAACCGAGAAGGGAGAAGGGAGGTTAAAGGGAACATGTTTGATAGTGTGTCAGGAGTCCGTACACCGATCCAGAGGGTGAACCAGTCATCAGTCTGAGCAGGGAGACGAGCGCTCTGGAGGCCATTTTTGACGAAAGATCAAAGCAAAGACGGAGAGATGTACGATAGTGTGTCACGGTATATTCTTGCCCCGTACGCCGTCGCGAGCGCCGTACCGAGAGACCGCCTGCGCTAGCGTTGATAGTTCTAATTTAATTTGGCATTTAAACTCTTTAATTGGTAAAATTAAAAAAAAATTTGCGTGATATTTTTTCGTTATATATTTTGGGCATTTATGTTGTAATTCTGTGGTTTGTTTGGTCAAGGTTAAAAAATGTACAAGTTAAACCCGTAACTCAATGACATCAATAATGTTAAGCTTGAATTAAGTAATTGATGTTATACTTAAATTCTTTCAAAATAAATATAAACATTAATATTAATAAAGGCAATTTAAATGATCATTCTGTAACATTTTATTTCATTTTTTATTATTACTGCCTCTGCGCTCTCACTCACACACGCTCTCCATCTCTCTCTTAACTCCTCGTTGCTGCGCTTGGTAGAACTCGTCTGGTCTTGGTCTTGTTTGGGGAAATGTTCGGATTGAAATTTTGCTGATATTTACCTCCCTTCCCCCTTCTCGGTTCGGGATAAAGATCAATAGTGTGTCACCGCCTTAAGAAGGTTGAAAATAATCTTGTCAATGTGCCTCTTTAGAGAGATACAAGATGTTTCTTAATTGATTGAGACTTTTAAAAACAATTTTACCCTAAACCGCCCTGTTCATTTTATCTAATAGTTTACATTTATGTTTCAGGTGCAGCCAGATTATATTGAAGACACTATATCAATAAGCAACTACCCACTATCCGCTGCACTAACGTGCAGTAAGCTGTGCTCTGCTTTTGAAGAGGTCTGGGGTGTTATGTAGGAATATGCTTGTTTACTTTGTAAATACATTTTTATGAAACGTGTTCTTTTTTTATTGTACCATTTTTTAAATCTTGTCTCTCGTTTATGACTTTTAGAGATCATAAACAAGTTTTTTGAAGTTTGATTTTTTAGAATTTGTTTTTAAAGATTCAGTGATGCTGGCTAATTTTCTTTTTAAATGTGAATTTAAAAACAGCTGAACTTTCAGTTGAATACTATACCACAGTGAGATAGTAACGAAAAAACAGTTTATGAAAATGGGTTTATAGTCGGGACCACATAAGTTTGCAGTTGAGGGAGGAGCCTATTTACCATATGGTTTTGAATTAACCAATGAGAACGGTGCGGTGTTGCCAAATCTAATAATACCAGCTTATTTGAAAATATTGCTTTGTATATTTTTCACCACACTATGATGTTTTTGGCTGTATTACATACGTTAATTGGTGGCTGAAAGTTACGTTTTGCTGGCCATGCCAGCTGTCATCGTAATTTGGGGACCGAGCAGGTTTTTACTGGCCGGGGCCGCAAAATCAGCTGTCCGCTTACATACTTAAAACATGAATGCATTTAAAATTAAATACACAATCAAAATCCATAGCATTGCAATAGAATTGTGTTATTGTCACTGTTGCCTAGCAAGTATTTATTTTTGCTGATTCCTCAAATTATTTCTTCCCATAACCTTAAAGTTGTAGTTGTGTTGACTATCAGTGTGCATTATTATGGTGGTGAATAGTGGTAATAGGGTATAGTGTGGTGAAAAATAACGTTCGTACCACGGACCGAAATGGTTTTGCAGCTCTCGATCGATTTAAGTTCTCGACTTCGTCTCGAACTTAAAAACTATCTCGAGCCGGCAAAACCTCATTTTCGGCCCTAGGTACGAAATATACTATTAATTAGTGTTGTCAATGGGCGATATGGCAACGTCGCACTAGCCTTGTCTTGTGATAGGCTGCCGCCAACTGCAATCTTTACGTGATCCCGACAATAGGTTTTTCATCACTCTATTCCAAAATCGTCAATTTCCATACACCAAAAACAAATAGTGATCAGCTGACTTTTCCTGACATATTTTGGGACTTACATGGTTTTTTTAGTGTTTTACATGCGAGTCGAAGACGAGCTTAGGAAACACTATCCAAAATTGGTCACTTTCGTGACTAGTAGTAAAATAACTATTTATTTACAACTGTAACCTAATTGAGGTAGGTAAATCGTGCCTTGTGTTGTAGATCTAAACGAAACAAATTTAATATATTGTAAATTAATAGTTTTATTCACCTAATGACTATCTCAAACACACAATCTTTGAAAGTAAAATGGTATTGTGTTATTCGTACAGCCTCGGAATTTAATCCTATAGTAATGCGCAATTTGCACACAACTCCTCTCGTATTTGAAATAAGGCAATTGTTGTTATACCAGAAATAGTGATTTACTTACCTCAAAAGTAGCCTATTTCTAATTCATTTTTATTAACTTTCGTCTCTTGTGTAATCTCGTGACTGGGACGGTGGCGTCGTCCTTTAATCCAGCTACTAGGTCTACAAATTGTGGATATTTATAGGCATGCACTGTGGATGCAATGCTCCCTATTGTGGATTAACGTCCACACTAGTGAGTAAGACTATCCGCAGTACTATCCTGATAATTAGACCAATTAGACAACTGTGTCTAAGGAACATGTCGGCCTGAGTCACTTACAAGACTACAAGATCGCGCCATTCATATTTGAGTTATAATACACACATAGTGGCATCCCATCTTAAATAATGGATAACTGTGATAACAGTTAGTTGTGAACTTTGTGTGTGCTGATAGCTTGTCTGGAATTCTTTTCTTGGGTAAGTTAGTTGTGTATCTTGTAACGGGGAAGTTAAATATATTGAGTAGAAGTAATTTATTAGTTAATTATTCGCACATTACAAAATCCTACTAATATTATAAATGAGAAAGTTTGGATGCATGTTTGTGACAAGTAAACGCGAAAAATACTGGTCGGATTGGGCTGAAATTTGGTATGATGATAGCTCACATTCCCGATTAACATATAGACGCATTCTTATCTCAAAAGTCCTTTCGGGCTCCGCCCCAGTGGCTCTGGAGTTTCCCATGTTAACCTTATGAGTAATCATATTTAAAAGGAATAAAATAATTTTGTCAGCTGTTTCAAGTATCCAAGTCCTATGATATTGAATAGCATTAAAAAGTTACAAGGTTTACCAACAGGGTGCAGTACTATTATTTTTTTACATTTATGACAACATCTATTATATCCTATAAAGGCCATAAAGGTTAAATTTAGTTTTAAAAGGCTTATGTGTAACTATTTTATCAACAGATGTAAAGATCAAAATGTTTCCATTTCGTGTTCTCTTCCCGTTGCAAAGCACGGGTACAACAGCTAGTTAATCATATTTGCCTTAAAATAAACTCACAGAGAAGGTTTGACCCTTATAGTTATACTAAATTTTACCTGGTAACAAGGAAATATACCAGGTGGTGAAAATATTAGCCAAATCTAGTTATCACTCGGTATTTATTAAATGATTATTCAACCTGTAGTAATACACACATTTAAATGCTTAGTGATACTTAATCACATCAGTTTACCATACTGTCACTGTGTTTATCACTGTCAAATTAATAGGTTCGAAACGTGCTCCTTTCTCGTGCCAAATCTACACATACGCTCTTCACACAAATCTTGGACGAATTGTGGCACTTTAGAGCATGTAATGCGATATTTCAAGTTAACAGATACGTAATGAATTAGTACATTTGCAGAATGAACGATAAACTGGGTCTCGCGGGTAATGAGACAGATTCCTGAGTTCTATACGATTATAACTATAAATTTCGTCGCACAAGACAAGTGCCCCGGACACGGTACATGAATTAATTTTAAGACCGGTGTATTAAACATAAATATACTATCATCGTGCGAGACATGTGCCTCTCGCGGATCAACACGAACAATGCACCCAACAGACCACTGTAATTCAAACAACAAAATACAGAGGAAAATAGCTCAAACTTATGTTATGACTAAACGCCTATTAAGATGAGTTCGTTAAGATAGTTATGCTCAAACGTACAGTGATATCGCCATGCAAGATACGCACCCTACATGGAATATTACGTGTAACGTAACATATTATCTACACTCTTCGTAGGACTTTAAAATGCAAATATAGGATCACAATTCAAAAGGGGACTTTACATTGAAGAATAAACAATAAACTAACACTCTCTGAAAATAAAATCTTACTTCATCTTCTCTTAAACTACAGAACAACAAAATGATACACTCTGAAATAAAATTCTACTAATTTTTTACTTCTTATAAAAAACTCAACCAAAATGATTCATTACTTTAAATTTAGAGGGCCTTTTATATTTATAATCGAACCGACAAGACATGCCTCTGCTTGATTATAGTGTAAAATTTTTTAATTAATTTAGAGTCTAGAGTTAATTTGCCTCTAACCGAGAGTGAAAACGTTCAATATTTTATGTACTCAATACTAAAAAAATTAAGATCGAGACAGACTTTGGAAATTTGAGATTGACTCAAACTAAAGAATTAACAACTTTCGACTTTTGGAGACATTTACCAATTTGGAAATAAGCCTCGTTCAGTAATCAGCGACACAACACTCACCAATACAATCACCAAAACTTCTGAACTCGATAGCTTGATGGTACGGCACTGAATGCCCTGAGGTCACCTCCTAGAGCTATGGACCCCTCTCAAGGATATGGCAGGGGGGTAGCTATCTGACGGTGGCACCTGACGTACGCTACGACAGATCTCAGATTCACTCATCTCACAGGAAATTTGAAATTCACTGTCACAATCTAATCCTTCTTCCTTTACGTGCTCCTACGAACTTGATAATCAAGAAAATTAAATATTATTGCATTTTAGAAATAATTACAGTACTAGGTGTATTACTTTTGCTGCTGTCCGTCAGTTCATAGAAATGCCTCTGGCCCCATCAAAGTTGTTATTTTTTTAGGTAAGGAATTCAGTATTTTCTTTTCCCCGGCTACATTTTTGAAATACTAATGTTTCCTGTTAAATAATATTTAACCTGTAAAATTATTTTGACAGTTAGGCATTTGAAAAATAATGATTTTGTGGTAAATTAATTTATTTCATATAAACAATAATATAAATAAAATGTTTTCACTTTACAATCATAAATCACATAAATTGTTCTGCTAAATATAATTACCTGAAAAAATTGGACGTACTTCTATTTTCTATAAATTTTAAATCAAATGAAGATACATTTCAGAAATAAGCCATCATAAAGCACCAGTTGCCACCTACGTGTATTGATTTAACATTTTACCAAAGACGAAAACAGAAATAGACAAATAAATTATGTTTGTAAAGTAGGCCTACTGTAGACAATGGTGAATCGTTCAACTAACATACAAAAACTATCATGACTCAACAATTAATAGCTGAATTTTTTTAAAGAAACAATAACATTGACTTCAGTCCATTAATGAAACATCAATACAATACACATTTTAAAAACTCCCTGATGACAGCCTATCAAATACAAGCAGTAAACTAAATGGGCTAAATCTTATTTTATAGTTACATGATACTTTTTAGAGAGTGGAATCTAATTCCACTCTTTTTATGGAATTTGTTTTGCACAAACCAGTTAGTTGTACTGTTGGTGACTCACAATAGATTTGTGTTTATATTTTTAAATGGGAGAAAAATGTACTTATCTTAAAAGTAACATAAGTGTACAGAAATTATATATATATAAAAACATAAATCATAGAGATATAGTATTCAGAGATCACAGTTAACTGAATATAACTACTGCTGCATTGAAATTATGGTAACCAACTTCATGCAAGGGAGTATCACAAAATATATTAAAATGTCATCCGTTAAAAAATCTTTTAAAATACCTGTACAATAAAATGGCTTCTACTCTATAATGATGCAACATTGCAGGACTAAAATTTAAATATAGGCGTGTTTGTGTGATTATTAATCTCCTTCCTCAATTTAACATTTGATTTTTATCTTTAAAATACCTACAGTAATTTCTTAACCTGAAAAATACATGATGAAAATCATACAATGCCAATGATTTTGTCAGAAACAACAGGTTAGGTAATAATAAAATTAATGTATTGATCTATTACACATTGAAAATAACTATGCTAAATAAATTATTATCACATTACTGGCCATAAAATATATCAAATTCTTAGGCTCTTTGTGAAAAATTATCAGTTTGCATGAAGTAAAATTAAATCTTACAACTGGTGCTTACAGTTCTATAATTTACCACATTTTATTTTTTTCTGGTTTTTTCAAGAAGACTAGAAGAACTAGTTTTCGATTGTCTTTCAGGTTGTGATAATTGCTTCCGAAAGCCAGGTGGGAAGGAGCTCAGAATGTCTGCGCGATAGCACAGGTGTGGCCTGGGCAGGAGCGGAGTGAAAAGATAAATAATCTCAAACAAATAGTAAAAACTCAAAAGTATTTCTCCCTATTAGGCAGCACTCGCCATGCCGAAGACCACACTTTCTGCGACTTTGGTAAACACTTGTCACAACCGAAATAAAAAAAGTATAAAAGAAATGTTTAAGCGCTACCCTTTAATGAAACTCAGCCAATTAATCACTCTACCAATAGGTTTGATTAATTTAGTTACACTTAACAATTATTTTAACGAAACCATCAGACGATGGAGCAACAGTTTAACCAAGGAACTACACCGTAATAACATGGAGTACTAAATCCTTGAATGAAAATTGAAATTTTGTAACATGCGGGCAGCAACATGTTTTGGCCCTTTTAAAAAAAGTATTTAGTATATTATTTTAAACTAAATATAGATCAACAGTAATTGAACATTAATCAACCAATGCTACATGATAGTAACTTTAGACTTTAGAATTTGTAGTTAGTGTTGAGAGGGCTGAACTCAACACTGTCGCTCGTAGATGCAGCAACACAGCAGAGCTGTCCAGAGGCGGCTGCGACACTTCCTCAGACATTTGGATCTCCAGACAACATAAATCAATTCTTCACAGACGATTCTTCAACACAAAATATTTCAATCAAACGAGAATTGGAGGAACTGTAACATTAGTCTTTGAAAGTTTTTTCCTCCAATCACGTTTCAAACAAAACTAATCTTCCCTTTGTGATTCCTGATTCAATGATTCTCAATCATAAGAAGAATAACTATTTACAAATCACTTTTCACTGTTAATGTCCCCGAAGAACTCACTGGATTATGTATTTAAACTTTTATCGAACACGACAAATCCGAGAGAGAACAGTTAGTACCAAAGATGGTGTAGCCTAAAGAATATAATCTATCAGTACAAATATGATAAGTGATGTTTATTAACTTAACAAAAAAATTATAAAATTGCAAAACCTTTACGAATAAAAAGGAAATAAATAACTATAAGTGAACAACAAGTTAGAACATAAATATCGTGTCAGATCTATTAAATTGTTCTGTTTTCTTTATTAAAAACAGGTTGTGTTATTAAAAATGTCTGACAAATCTCAAGCAATAGTTATAAATAAATGTAGAAAAGTAAGAAGAAAATTTGTGAACTCAACACCTTCAACCCCAGGAGATCCAAAGATGTTAAAAGACTAGAGTTGAAAATGTAAAGCCACACAAATATTTTAAACTGCAATGTATATGGAGCACATAATAATTGATGGAAACTGTTTCCTCTCGGCACGTGAATTTCAATGAGGCCCGTAACCCTAATTAATACCTAAAAGTTGACGGATGAATGAACAACGAAATCTCTGTATATAAATTGTATCAAAATTCGATGAGTAACTAAAAATGTTTGTTTTGTTCATGACACTGTTTACTCGTAGAAAAATATGGGCGTCAGTATGTGAAGAGCTATGTACATCGGACAGAAGAGCTTATTTACTGATGTTCCCCTCTTCGATACCCTCTTCGATCATCTTGGGAACATATAAGGCTGGATCAATCACCTGAAAACAGCAGTTTTTATGAATAATATTTCAAAACTACATAATATAACATTTTTACACACAATCATTCTATATCAAAATTAATGGTATTTTATGTACATGTCTCAAATTTTTTTGTGAAATATCAGATTAGAATACGGTCTTATGTTGCTTTGTTCCTATGGATCTCCAAGTAAAAATCATAAAAGAACTTTGATCATAGTCTACAACGATAACTGAAAATAAAAATAGAAGTTTTTCTAAAAAAAAAATAAAAAATATGACATTAAGACACAGGTATCTAGGCAGTTGGATTAACGTTGTTAATGATAACTATTCGTTGGTATTACAATGCCCGTCTATTAACGGGCTGCCATTTTAATTCGAGCAAAGCATGTTATTCATGCAGAAAGCCTTTTTAAAGCTGTTGGAAGAGGGCTAATATTTGCCTATATTATAACCATTTTTGATTAAGCAAGTAATATGACATTATTTAGTTGGATAAGTATTTTTACTGAAATCAGGAGAACACAGTCCTTGTCTTTAGAGAACTTTAGTCTGTAATTTTATTTTTGTATTTTTTATCAATGTGTGTGTACAATGAACTGGGGTGACAAGGACTGTGTTCACTTGATTTCAATATGTTAGTATATAAATTACTAGAAAAAAAAAAACATAACACTAAGTATTTTTGTTTACTAAAGTTCGGCCGCTTAGAAAGCAACCTGCGCACTAATGCTAAACCAATGCTAGAGGAGGTCGCTTTCTAAGCGGCCGAACTATAGTAGCAAGTCCAGGTGTGTTACCTTGGGTATAGGCTTGATTTCAGTTCCCAACTCCTGTTCAATTCTGTGCAGAGCAAAACGATCCTCATAGGTGATGAGGTTGATTGCGATACCCAAGTGTCCAAACCTGCCTGACCGACCGATACGGTGAAGATATGTCTCGGCCATCTTGGGGAAATCAAAGTTGATGACGACGTTCACAGCTTGCACGTCAATACCTCGAGTGAACAGATCTGCAGAACGACATGTACGTTAGTATTCTGTTATGGAAATCAACATAGTTTCATTGCCAACAGTATTGAAATCACTGCCACATTCTAAGTTTAAAGACAAAATTAAAAATATACTCATTGATGAATGTCTTAATAAGGTTGATGATTTTTTCAATATAACGTAATATTTTTCTATTAATTTTTTTTTCTCTAGTCATTTACATTTTGTACACTTAATTTATACTACCGTGCTTTTACCACATTTTTACTTTATTGCATTATGACATTATGTTGCTTTGTACATTATCTATAAACAATTTCTGTGTTGTATAATATTGACGCTTGTCCATGCAGTGTTTTTGTGTTTATGACAAAAAAATCTTGAATCTTGAATCATTACCGTACGCCATAGGTGTTCCATAGGTTGACTGTCTCTTGAGATGGAAAAGTTTCGTCAAATCACTCCAAATTGATTTCCACTCAAATCAAGTTTGCGTATATAATATAAAAAAGTCCTGCTTTTAGTAGATTACTTGTCATATCATATCCATAATTATTTCGTACATACTCTGTCACACATATGAATGAAAATATCTTCACTCCTAGTGAAATAATTGCACATATCATAATAATTAATTTATAGTACTTAAAATTGTGTGGTTGTGTGTATACATTGTAATTTATTCATAAGTCATTTTTAATCCATATTACTATGACAACATTTTGTCATTATATTTTCTGCTTAAACTTTCTCTTAAGCCGGGTTTTCCTAGGCACGGAATCGGCGAGCGGAGAGAGGAACGCGGAGAGCGGACTCCACTTGTCTTAGGCAATTTAATGTTACTGTATTCCTAGAAGCGGGGCGGAATGCCATGTTAATTTCAATTCCGCTCTCCGCGTTCCTCTCTCCGCTCTCCGCTTCAGCGCCTAGGAAAACCCAGCTTTAACAGAAGACTGTTACTGGTGTTGTTGTTGGTGTATGCTTTTACCACATGTAGTAATATGATATTTGCATCATTGAGTGTACATAATCTAGAAAGGATTGTAAGTTATGTGTTGTGAATTTCTCAGAATAATACAAATTTCACGCATATTTCCCGGTTTTTCACGGCGGTTAAAATTCACACATAATTCCCGATTTTCCCGGAATTCCCGATCACTGACAACCCTGGTTTATCCTTCAATCTTGATTCAGGAGATTCTTGTAAGTATGGAGAATCATAAAAATTTTATCTTCGACCAAAAAGCTTGTCCGTTCTCACAGAGTTTCAAAGAACTGCCGAAATTATTATTCAAGCCAGTTTTTGCTAGCCATATTAGGCCTATAGATGCAAACCCCAGCTACACTGTTCTTAATAAAAATACATGAACACAGTTAAGGAATCAGAAATGTATAGATCATCTAAAAACAACACCACAGATTTTCTCAATGAAAAGTTACCTTTCAAATCAAATTTAATATTACCAATACAGCATCGAAATAACAGATGTTAGTGTCAGTGTATGAGGAGCGGAACTTATAAAACCACATGAGTGGGAGGAAAGGGGGCTTGTACCATAATAACCCTGGGATTAGTCATTGCTGCCCACTACTGCTAATCTATCTTTTCCAACTACTTGGTGTTGAAGCCAAAGTTGCCTGACAAAAAATGTAATATTCAATAGTTCAGCTTAACATTTTTATCCTGTATTGCTGATTGCTATCTCTAGATAATTACCAGAGCAGACTAGGTTTCTGCAGAGGCCAGCTCGGAAGTCGTGGAACACCCGGTTACGGTGAGCTTGTGCCATCTTGGCGTGAATGTAGTAGCAACAGTAGCCCAGCTCTGTGATCTTCTTGGCCAACAACTCCACTCGCTGAGTAGAGTTGCAGAAGATGATGCTTTGGTTGATTTGCAACTGTTAACATGCATAAGATGAAATGACCAAACAAGTTTAAGAAGGGAATTATCTTTAATAGATAAAAGTTCTATATCAGGATGAAATATCAATGTCGTGTTTTGCGACCTGTTATTGTATATCCACAAGTATCTGGACTTTTCCATGTAAGCTACATAAACATTTTGTCATTTAATTAAAAAAAATCCTATGAGCCATCTATAGGCAGGGGCACCAGCAGGAATTTTGAAACCCATATCATGTTCCAGGGGCTGGGGGAAAAGGCCCTATTCCAGAAACAAGTTAATGTAGGCTACATCAATTTAAAACACAATTAATTGATGGCTATTTAATCCTTTTATCGGCGCGGTCTGATATATCGGACATCGAACTGCGGCACTACAGTAGAGTCCCGCAAACTCGGCACTCGATAACCCGGCAGTCTGGATAACTCGGCCATCACCTGGCTCAGAAAATTAGTGATTTTTTGAGTGCTAGTTAATCATGGACTCAAGCCAGCTTAAGTCAAATTATTCGCAACTGGTATTAAGGATTTGTTGTACTATATCTGATGACTTAATACTGACTTGTAATATAAATATAAATAAAAAAGGCAGTTAAAAAGCTTAAAAACTGTATTGTTCTTATTTTTAACCCTAGTTCCCGATAACCCTTCCAGTCCACATTACGCCGAGTTTGCGGGACTCTACTGTATTGAGAAAATCACCACGGTCCGATATTTCGGACCTCTGCTAAATGTTTCTTTACTGGCCAGTGGCCACCTTTAAGTACAAAAGCCACAAATAACTCACCAATCGAATTGGCATCATCTGGGCTTCATGTAGCAAGAGGTTTGAATGTTTTTGATCGTATTATCGTGATGACAAAATTTCCTGAGATGGCGTCATCTGTTATTTGTCAACAAGTGATCGTGTGTATTAGGTTAGTTCTTATGACTTAAGGGGGGCGGCAAAAGGGTTAAAAGCCAGAATTCTCTTTAAAACAAATGAAAAACATTTGTCACTACAATCTGCATCACAACGTACAGAGCATAGAAAATTGTTTATGGCTATTCTCAGGGTGGGGGCCACGATCCCCCTTTGCAGTGCGCCCATGAAATTGTGTTCCTTAAAAATATAGCCTAAATGTAAGCCTATAGTCTTTCATAATTAATTATGGCCTATTATCATTTCCCTGTTCATTAATTGTTGAAACCATAATGTTTCTCATGAAAAATAGGCATCTTTTTAACTAAGATTCACAATCAATTTATTCTTTTCGTCAAAGACCCCTATTTCAATACACAGAACTACTTTTTAAAATAAATATTCACCACCCTGCTATCAAGCTCTACTATGAGTTGCCTAATAGTCTAAAGGATGTCAGAGGTACGTTTTGGGAGGGGACTAAAGAACTTTACTGGATGGAGCATTTTACAATGTCCATGATTTTTTAAGTAAGAATTTTTGAAGAAGCTAGAAATAAGGTTGAAATGTTTGATAGCCATTGTAAATTAATGTTAATAATGATATCGAATGAGTAAGCCAAATAACTTCATACATACCTTAGAAAATAGAGTATTGAGACAGTGAACTTTTTGCCTTTCTTGAACAAAGGCGTAATACTGTGTGACACCTTTAAGGGTCAATTCTTCCATGAGGTTTACCTCTTCAGGGCTTTTGAGGTGCTTCTCCTGTTAAGGTACATAATATTAGGCTTTATTGAACATTTATACAACACAATAAGAACACAACTAATTGATACCTTTTATCAGACAGTTTTTATGTGTGGTAAAATCTTGTACATTTTTTTAACGTTGAAACACATTAAGAATGGTTATAGACCAAGTCTCCATCTTGAAGCGGGCAAGTACAAAATACCCCTGTGGCAGCAATCCTGTAGACTAAGTGAATTTCTATTTGGCTGATTCGACTTAAATATTTCCTTACATGTCGGATTTATTCCTTCTACAGGGAAGACAATAAAGTATATTTTATAGTAGGCCCTAAGTGTTAATAGTATTAAATAAATAGATATGCCAAATTTGATCAAAATACTTTAAGCTAAAAAACTACGCCAGATTATTTATTTTCCATAAGAATAACGTAAGGATGTTAAATGTACGGGTTTTAAAATTTTTTCCTGTAGCTATACCCTACAACGCGTCAATATACAAAATTATAGTTGTTAAGCCCTACTAAATGGTTGGATTGTAAGATTTTATACCTTGAGCGTGTAACCCATTTTTACCCCCATAAAGCCCCGTCCCCATAGTCTAATCATGCTGGTTCGCACTCCTTCAAATAAATGTAATTGACTTGTTTGTACCAAATTTAACCAAAATCGAATGCACTTTACTTGAGTTATTGTGCTAACGGACACACATATTTCTGAATTTGAATACATAGTGTTTTTGGCCTCTTGATATGCAAAATATTAATCAGTCTCGGGTCTAGGTCTTACCATGAGACCAACGATAATAGGTTATTCCCTTTAGAAGAAATTCGCTAAGACCAAAAGTCTACTGCTAATAGGTGCAACACATTAGTAAGATATTAGTTAACAATGTGTAATATGTGACATGGGACACATCTCACACTCAAATCAACTTCTGTATGTTCCACTTACTCCATTGTGAAATAGTTAAATAACAGCTCAATGAATGCCAATTGATTAGAAACATTACAACTGTCAATACTATTGTTTTCAAAATTGATGATATGTTAACTGGACTTACCATAAACTGTTTAACAGTGAGGGGGAAAGTGGCAGAATATAGCAGAATCTGCCGATTCTCAGGCAAACGAGCAATCACGTGGTCCAACATTCCTTTAAAGTCTTGGGATAGTAGCTTGTCAGCCTGTAATGCACAATACTTTGTTACAGTACTATATATGAAATGGTAGACCTATTACGTATGTCCCCATCTACTTGTCAAGGAATGGTCGTAAAATATTTTGAGTATCCACAGTGCATCTGTAGGATGAAATATTAGTTTGATGAATAAACTGTATCGGATATAGTATTCACGCAATATAAATATTGATTTAGTTAGACATTGAATGTGAATATATTTATGCCATAGGGTCTATTGAAAAAGACTCTTTCAAACTGGGCTGTGGTGGTTAGGTTATTTTCAAATTTTCTCTGATAATATATTACACGTATGGGATTGTACCCTTTTGGTTGTGTTTAACAGTCAGTTCCCACACTAATCCCGCAATAACACTGGGATTGACCAACACTTGTAATGCAGATAGACATGAGATGCCTTTACCAAAGTGCTTCATGCATAACGTTGATATTTAAACTGCAACATGGACTTTTGATAAAAAAATATATATATACTAGCTGTAACCCGCGGGCTTTGCCCCGTTTAACTTCTTAATTTTCAAGATTATCTCGTTCGCATGGCTCAATCACGTCCTGGTTGAAGTTTGTTCGCTACGCTCACTCACCTTTAGGTTGGAGCTCGTTCGCTACGCTCACTCACCTTTAGGTTGGAGCTCGTTCGCTGCGCTCACTCGCCTTCAGGTTAGCTCGTTAGCTACGCTAACTCGCCTCCAGGTTGAAGTTCGTTCGCTACGCTCACTCACCTTTTGGTTGCAAATTAGCTGTTGTCATAAATGTAAAAGAAATAATAGTGCTGCACCCTGTTGGTAATTTTTGTAACTTTAATGCTATTGAACATCACAGAACAGAACCAACTTGTTTAATTGAAACAGCTGTTAAGATTCAATAATTTCATTTCTCATAAGGTTAACATGGGAAACTCCAGAGCCACTGGGGCGGAATCCGAAAGGATTTTTGAAATAAGAATATGCCTATATGTTAATCGGGAATGTGAGCTATCATCATGCCAAATTTCAGCCCAATCCGACCAGTATTTTTCGCGTTCACTTGTCACAAACATACATCCATACATCCATACATCCATCCATCCAAACTTTCTCATTTATAATATTAGTAGGAAAAAATGATTTTTGTGTATTTGTATATAATGTAAACATGACTATGACCTAAGTGTTGAAACGTGTCGTTTGTTAATTAAAATGAATTTAAAAGGGTACCAATGTTTTTATAATGTTTCCAATATTTATATAGTAGTAGCCCTAATCACAACCATACTAATCACTGAAATTCAGATCTTTCACACATAAATTGTATAAAATTAACATGTGAGGCAACAGATGAATTGCATTAGGTCCAAAGTTTGTTGCATCCAAAGACCATTAAGTGCCAAACGTGACACATGGTCCCTTGAAAAGAAACATGGAAATGATTGTTTTACATTTACTACTTTAATGATAACATTTTAAAAACCCTTACCTCGTCTAGTACAAGCACTTTGCAGTGATCCATGTTTGCAACATTCTTGTCCATCAAGTCCAAGATTCGGCCCGGGGTAGCGATGATTACATGGACTGAAACAAACCAATATCAATTCAACATCCCTGTTATTGCAAGCAATATTTTATCTACTTCAATCAACCACATTAATAGTACGCTCATCCAAGCAAATAGTGGTCTAGTTTGACAGTATAGACTGTGCAGTATATTATATCAGATTGTCTAGGTAACCAAGTGGTTTAAGTGCTTACCTTCAATCAAAATGTCACTGGTTCGATTCTAAACAAAAATGATTCTGGGCCTAGACATGCCACTTGTCTATGGGCTATCAATTAACGATGCTATCTAAAGGTCAATATTAGATACAAATCCAGGGTTTTGATTGTACTCTTAAAAAAACACCAAAAATGCCATTGTACCGGTAGTAAATGAATGCAAATAAACACAAACCAAGACTTAAAAATAAATATATATCTGTAAGTCCCCAAATGTTTCAAAAGTAACACAGACAGTAAAAAAATTCTTGATTTCTACAAACTCATTGAAGGCAACTCATTTAAACATTGATTTGAGTTAAAGATATTTTTGAGTTAAAAAGCATGCAGGCCTAACTAATTGACCTCTCACCTTTCTGGTAAATCCTCATGATGTCGTCCCTGAGGTTTGTGCCTCCTGTGGTCACCATGATTCGGACATTCATGTGCTTGGCCAACTCTATACAAATCTGACTAGTCTGAAGCGCCAACTCCCGCGTAGGGACTATCACTAGTGCTGCAATCACAAGTTTGGCAATTTTGTTTATTTCATACTAAGCTATCAACATTTCAATAAAAAAACACACCTCAATACCTTACCTGTAGCAGCAAACCTAAGTACTAAATTAAATTAATGTTATTTAAATGGGAAATAGATCTGACAATTTTAAAGGAATATTTTAGTAGATATCCAGCCAGGTCAATGGAAATTCTCTTAGTCTGCAGGTTCGCTGCGGCATGGGTATATTACAAATTCACGTAAAAACTAAGCTAAAATAATTTAGGATTACCAAGGAAATGATGTTTTACTCTAATTTTTGTTCAATCACTACTAACGTCAATATAGGCCTGCCTGTACATTAGACTCTCTTATTCGGACTCCTCAGCACCAAGGCCAGTTTCGGACAATTAAATTTCCGGTTAATCCGACGTCCCCTAAACTTAAACGACCAACAATACAAGTAAACGCCATAAGAATTACTCAAAAACTAACTAACTAACCCAAATATTTTATTTAAATGTGGGAGATCGTTTATTTTGACACATGATCACTGGTCCCAAATCTTTAACAGGAGAAAAGTCGTCTCAGTGCCACCCCCTCCTGATCACCTATCGTGTTTCTGATCACTTATCCAGTCCTGTCAAAGATATGTCACTACTACCGAGTGTAGTCCTGCTAAACCGATGGAACGTCCGGATAAAAGTTGTCCAGATAAGAGGGTTTCCAGTCTACTGCTATCAACTGTTGCGAAAGTGGTCACTAAAATGGTACATCCCAATTGTTTTTTCTTTTACCTTTAAAATAATGCAACAGATATAGGCCTACAGCAGTTAATTTTCATTTTTTGTAGTAGCCTTTGTTCTAGAAAAAATTATCTCAGAGACCAAAATAGGAATTTCAGCAAGAACTAAGGCAAATAAAAATAAAAAAAACTCATAAATTTTCAGGTATCTAACTATTTGTTGTATTAGATAGAGCACAAAGTTTGTAATTCAATCAGCATATAAATCAGATAAAATTGTTTAGGCTACTTTATCTACGTCGCTAAGTAGACCTACCTTGTATATAATCCTTGTCGGGATCCACTTGCTCTAAAACTGGTATTGAATACGCTCCTGTTTTTCCTGTTCCGTTTTTCGCTCGAGCCAAAATGTCTTTGCCCGCCATGGCCAGAGGAATGGTGACCTCTTGGATAGGTGAAGGTTTTTCCCAACCCTTCTCAAAAATGCCCATCAGGAGATTTCTTTTGACACAGAATTCCTCAAATTCGTTACCTTTTGTGTCTGTCACATCCTGTAATCAGACAACATGTTCTGAATGTTTACTGGAACTGAGGAAATGTTTAAATGTATTAAACTAAAATACTCTGGCCAAGGATGATGCAATGGGCAGTAAAAGTCCGCTAATTTGGCATCCGATGATTCTGCACTCTCAATGAACTGGCACTTTATTTTATTTTAAGTAATTCTGGCATCAGTTAAAGATCTTAAAAAATTGTTAAATGCTGCTTTAAGTTGTATTACAAAAGTTGTGCGTACAGTAGAATCAACAATTGACATTTATACACCAGGAGCAATCAGTAGAACGTCAGTTGCGTCCAATTAAATTTGAGGGCATTTAAAAAAATATTTTATATCACTACCAAAATAAGAGAAAGCACAACAAAACATGCATAATGGAATGCCGGCACAAAATTTCCTTTAGAAATAGTCTTACACCGCCAGTCTTGCGTTACCGAGTGTCTACTGTGCAGGCCTATGCTGCATTTAGATATATAACCAATTCATCACTTTCAATAAGTAACAATAACTTTCATTTTTTAAATTTATTGTAGCATATCAACCTACAACCAATCTATCTTTCCGTATCAATCTACAATCAACAGATTTTTTTTATATCTGTGTAATAGAGAGGTTTACCAATGGAAGAAAAAAAATAAGAAAAAGAAAGGTTTGAATGGAAGAAAAAGTCATTCTTTAAGGGCTTGTATGTAAGCAATGTTTTGTAAATGCATATTTATATTCTCAACTAAAAAATGAACAAAACAAATAAAGAGAAAGTATGGATATATCAAGCATGTTGAAATGAATACTGATAATTAGAAAGAATGTTTCTAACATCTACTTTTACACACAAACTAAGAAACGATCAGATTAAAATTACTTACACTTGTCTTTATTCTCTTATCTTGAGGAATATTTTGCTTTGCTTTTAACAGCAATTCATCCAGTTTGTCTCTGAAAAAAATATTTTTTGTTAATAACCCACATAACCAGAATGTTTTGGGATACAAATAAATAAATTGAGCCACAGACAGGGAGTGCTGCGCTGGAGGATATAGTTTTCTTTCTTTGAACGCACAAATTCATTATTTTTCAAACTCAAAGGATAACTTTCAGTAAACTAAAGATTATCCTATGTCCCCAATTTCCCCATCGACTATCATAGTATCAAAAGAGAAATTCAACCGCAGATTGTATGGCTGGTTTAATTAACTATAGAAGAAAATAGAGTTTTAGCACAGAAAATATACTAGGCTACTATAACCCAGAATGCCAACCTCATGGTAAAAAGTGTTAAGTACTCGGAGAGAGCTTTGCCTGTCAATTCGTAGGCAGCGCCACCAGCGTTGCTATGCACAACGCTTTTTACCATGCGGTTGGCATTCTGGGTTATAGTAGTATGTTTTCTGTGGTTTTAGTCACTAGCGCATTCTGTGTCTGGCTAACACAACTAAATTCTTTTTTAACAAAAAATTGGCTACAGGTGGTCCATATAGATGGGACGTCTACTTCAGTATCCAATAGTCAATGATAATACACAAAAAAACATATCTGATATGGAGAAAATTACTTTTTGACTAACAACCACGTCACTCAGATGTAAAAATAACTTAAATATTTCTACATTATGATTATAATAATGCTCTATTTTGTTAATAATTTAGTTAAATGTCATGATGTAAATTATACGAGGGCAGAAGCAAAGGGGTGTGAAGTACGATGAAGCGAAATTAAGGCGTGGAGCCCATTTTGGTTAACATAATTATCGTTTTAAAAATCAATGGTTGGAATTTAGAGACTTTTTCGGTCTAAAGATATCTAGGCCTACAACAGTTTTTTAAAATTATTTTGGTTAATCTTATCACTTAGAATATATAACTGGAATCAATTTCCTATAGTCGACAATTTTTTCTGAGCTTAATCTTGATCACAGTTTGAGATCTGTGTCAGCATATGCTTCATTACATTACATGGCTAAACCGAGCCAACTACCCATGCCTTGTTTCGGTTTAGCAGGGTGCGGTAATTTAAGATAAAAAAGATTGAAAAATGCATATAAAAAAAAGAGAGTGTACCTTCATAAAGACAAGAATATTACTGAGCCAATGTTTGTAGAATAAGTTTTTCTTAGTTAGATTATACTTGATTTTGAATAAACATTTAACCTCAAATGAGTGAGCTATTCATCGAACAGCAACATCAATTTTCAACTTTTTAAATGTGAAATTTAAACTCATCTTATTAGATACCTACCTATCCTACTTTCTTGATGGACTACTCTTAAACACAAATAGTTTGTCTTCTGATAATGAAGATACAAAAAAATATAAACTTTGACAAATTCAAAAATGCTATCCAAATCTATTCAAATAGATACCGAAGAAAACTACTAGGAACTAAAATAGGATAAGGATCGTAACCTAGGATTTTTCTTTGGGTCTTAAAAAAGCCAAAAAAAAAATGAAAATCTACAAATTAATGTGAAAATATTAACTACGCTTAAAAACAGTGTATAAATATGTTTTCTGGTGACCTATGTAGCATAGTCCCTACATTAGATAATTGATAATTGAATTGATAGTTAGTCGTATGATTGTAGGCATTCACTTTAGTTGATTTGTAAGCTCCAAGAGTGAGCAATAGTGTGTCCCTTATCAAGCCAACACCCAAACGAAGGGCATTAAACTTATTACAACGGAGCATTGTTTACTCATGATGAATTGTGCATTGTGCACTTATGGTAACAGACATGATAGGATGTCATAACTGATAAGAACACACTCCTCAGTGCTCATATTCTAACTTCCATCCTAGTTGCAGTTTCCTTTTATTGAATTAGTATCACGAGATACGGTTTTTATAAGAGTAGGCCTATGTATTTCATTGGAAACAAAGATTATGATCCAATTTAAATTAAATGGTAGTAAGAATCAAACATGCCAGTAATCATAACTGAGAGTAACTTTTTTGACAAAAGTAAGGTACACGCATTGGATATAACTAGTAAAAGATGTACAACTGATGCTTTAGGACCAAATCCTGTTTAAATTAGCAGGGAATGCAATAAAATTCAATAAAAATATAATATAAAAACTATGTAGTCTATGCCAATAAATTGTATAAGCCATATGATGCAACAAAGCTTTGAAAAGAAGTAGGCTACCATACTCAGCCATCTACTTTTTAATCAAATATGCCTTTTATCATGCCGAGGATAGACCACAAGGAGTCAGAACAAAATCTTTTGAGAGCGTACGTTGGAGTAGTACATTAAATTAAAGGTGTCTTTTGGGAAAACACAAGTGTCTCAAACTCGACCTCAAAAGGTTCGTCTTAGCCTAAAATGGCGCCAGTTAAATGCAGTTCAATACAAAAATAAACAATGTAGTTTTATAACTGTAAATGACTACCTATACAGGGTCCTCAAAGTCTGGGAACTTCATTTTAATTTGTTGAACCATTACAAATAATGAAAAAAAAAATGTTTTCCAAATAAGTAGCCTATTATAGGACTTTAAAATATCTTTTTTTGAATTGAATATAAAATTCTCTATTCTATACTATACAGGATGGTCGAAAAGGAACAAAATCTTAAACGAGAACATAGGTCAAGTAGTGCATAACATTAAGGGGTCTTTTAATTATTTAATACTTCTCTCGTGGTAGTGTAGACATTATCACTGTCTTCTGTGGTCACGGTGAGTCATAATATTGTCTTCCGCAATTGGGACAAAAACATGCATTTTTTTACAGCAAAATTTTTGTAGACACCTACTACAATCACAATAGTAAAAGCTCCTCACAACTCGGCCTATTCTCAGTACAATACCTAAATTTCTGTGAAAAAAACCCAACAATTCAAATTTTTTATCATCCGAATGGAAAACGGTCCCAGTTGATTCGGATGGTTGGAGTTCAACTGTACTATATTATGTTACTAGTCTGGAAATAGGCATTTAATGGACATATGATTGTTCCCGCACGAGATAACTAGGCTATACAAGTACAGAGCAGATTTTTTAACAAGCAAAATTTTTTTAGTATAAATTTTGTACATTGAAAACAATTATGATTATGTAATACATGAGGTTTTCAATAACTTAAAATAATTACAAACAGCTGGCATACAGAAAAATCAATTCAACAGTAAAGCAGTACATAATTCCATTTGATTAAGCAAATGGCAAACAGCTGTTCTCCGGACTAAATCCATGCGTAAAAAGTCCATGAAAACAAAGTAGTGTGACGAAAATGTTACCTATTATATCATTGATTATCCACATAGACGTAACTAGGATGACCCTAAGAGCTCCCTAGTCACACTGGGGGGCCCCATCCAGGGAAGGAGGAAAAGGGGGCCCTTTTCCTCCTTAAAACCCTTGGAAAATGTTTGAAAAATTAGATCTGTAAACTCACATTTAAATAGCCTAGGGTTAAATACCCCCCCCTTTTTTTAAATAGTTGCAAAATAGTTAACACGCCAAAATTGCCTCCATTCTAGAAATTTGAAAATTTATTCAAGTGGCCTATAAAATTCCACAAAAAGATATTATATCAAAGCAGCTAGTAAATAACGTTTTTTTTTTTGCAATTTTGTAGCATTAAAAGTGGAACGAGTCAAACTTTTTACTTTCTTTTTAAGACAATTTCCAGGATTTTTGTTTTTACTTTTAGGTTATAAAACTTTAATTTAAATGTCTGTACTTAAGATCTAGAAACCATGAGCTATTTTTAAGCTATTTTATTTTTAGTACAAAGGTAGGCTACTTGCAGCTTAATATGTTACGAGTCTACCACTATAGTTCAAAGCGACATGCGCGCGCCTGCTCGAAGAGGTCGTTTTAAGCGGCCGAACTATAGTGTACAGATTCTTACACAGCAGAAAGAAACTTAATGATAGATTGAAAGTTCTGTGACTTAATTTTTTCCTAATCTTACAAAATGATATATGTTTGTATAGTTACAGCCAAAAAAAAAAAAAAAAAAAAAAAACCATGTCAATTATCACTTTAAAATAGGCCTACTAATTAAAATCAGGTAAGGAACTTACTGTAACACCATTTGTAATCAAGCAAATTACTACTGTAACTTTGGTTAACTACGTTCAAACATGTTTAAACCACATGTTTGAAAAGTTTGTAAATTCTTTATAACACCCAACACCCTACCTTAAATTAAACTCTACCTTAAACTGCAGGCCTGAATACAATTCATTATTACATATTAATCAATATTTTATCAAATAAATTACAAAAACTTTTCCAAAAAAACTCTTTACAAATCTGCAATCTCAAACAAGCTAAAGCCTGCAGCATGATGAAATGATAGATACATACGGTTTTTTCACATCATTGTTGTTTTCAATTTCCTTTTTCTCAGCTTGACCGTTTTCAATCAAACCTTTATCTTTTTTCTCCACTTCATCTTTAGGCTTATCAAAGTACAAAGTAGGCTGAGAAGGCACTGGCGTTACCACCTCCATCATAATATGATAACCTTACACAACTGATGTTCCAGACAGACTGAGACTGAGGTCTGGGTAGAGGTGATGCGGACGGGGAGGGGAGGGACATGCACAGACAGACAACTGAGCAAGGACCTACTGATAAGAGACTGGGACTACACTTGGTCTGCAAGCCCACACAGGCAGAATCTATCTATGAGGATCTATTTCATTGTTTAACAACTAAAATATATGATTGGTTTCACTAAGACTTCTGGTTGAATTTTTAACACCATAATTAAAGAATTAATTAATTAAATCTATCAAATTTACGTTTACTATAAGAAACTCTGTTTACAAGCTTGACAAATCCATTTTCATAAAAGAAAATTAAAATTTCATACTATTGAAGATATACATCCATCAGTTTATTTATTTTTAAAGTAGGCCTAAATCAGAGTTTGTTGGATATTAAATGAATACAATATTGAATAGCAATGTTTTATTTTAT